ATATTTTATTCTTATAAATATTAGGAAACATTAGTTTAGAAGTCCAAAGCGTTTAAAAAGAAAAAATATATGTTCGGAACACTTTGGAAAAAACGAATATATTAATCCTCATGCTACAAAATCGAGACTTATGCCTAATGCAGTCCCAAAAAAATATCTGATTGGTATGTTAAATATTACACATACTTGAACTATATTTACGATTCAATTATTTTATATTAATTACTATTTTATTATTTTATAATAATTAAAAAGTACCTATATTCAACTGTTATCGTGGATGATTTAATTTCTTGTGTTTCAACCGACTAAGTTAAAAATAAGTCACCAAAATCTTGGTCGTGGAATGTCGAAGATAGTCCTATCGCTGGTAAATTTTAAGTTAATATAATTTATGTATAGTCTTATGACTTATTTAATATTTATTTAGAAACGCCTGTTAATGAAACTATTGACACTACTCCAGTCAAATTGATAAGAAATCAAGCTGTAATAAATTCAGGTTTGTTTTAGCTTTTATAATATATTTTAGATTCTGATCGGTACTGATTTTACAATAATGTGTTTTTTTTTATTATTTAAACATTGATAAAATTTCATATAAGGTTTATYATAATTTGTTGCTAGTGAAAATTAAATAAACAGTAGTCGAGTAAGTAACGCTCTGCTTTTTAGTAGGTCACTATTATTTATCTGTTAAATTTGAATCCAATGATAGGTATCATTGTGTTCAAAAAACAATTCATAACAGAGACATAGGTAGGCGCCCACAGAAGTTTTTCTAAGGGGGCAATGTTAGGATTTGAAGATAAATATTATAGTTTTATTAGATATTTTAAAATAATAAGCTTTTTTATTATACCGTAGGACGGGGTGTAGTGGACCTGGTCGTGTGAAGTGGACCATTCTCATTTTTTTGAATGTCCATCAGTATAACTTTAACACGGTTGGATCAAAATTAATTTACTGAATTTTACCTCCATAGCAGTATGACAAAGAACAATTTTTGATACCAGTGATAACAATTGTACAGGACGATCCTTATCAATTCTTATCATTTTGTTTTGCTCAAAATATCGATTTTTTTTTTACATTCA